GTTTACAGCTGCTCTTCAGCCGGCCTTAGGGCTGGACTCTGCGCGGATCCGCTTCTCCGTTCTCAACGATGCCGGGCGGCATCCACTGCTGCGTTTTCAATGCGGGACAGCGGCATAGGATCATTGTACCTGTCCTCCCCGTCCTCGTCCATTTTGAACTCGTATTGTGAGCCAGGTAGGTACTCTTCACTATACTGTTCCTCCTCAATTTCCTCATCAACCAGATCCAGCTGATTAGATTCTCTGTTCGTAGGTTCTTCTCCCTCAACACCCAAGTCGTATTCTTGGTCATCCAGTACTTCTTCGCCTAGGCGTCGTGAGTACATCCTTTCTTTGTCTTTTCCCTTTTCCGGGCAAGCATTCGCGTAGTGCCCAGGTTTGTGGCAAAGGTAACATTCATCTGCCTTCGGCTTGTCAGACCCAGGCTGTGCCGTAGAAGTGCCAGGCGTTGTGCCCTTCCCTGGCTGTGTGCCAGCTTGTGCACTGTCTGTATGCACTGTATTTGATACACCAGGATGTCGGTCGTTGTTGTAGGTATGCTGGAATCCGTTTGATCTGAACGGGCCCCCTGATGTGTTCCCGCCACGGCCGCTTCTGTTGAAGTTGCCACCAAATCTGCCACCACGACTCCATTCGCAGTTGCTGTTGCCGCTGGTGCCTACTACGGCGTCTTCGTTCTTTTTCCCAGCGGAGGCGTTACCACTGCCCTCACTCTTCGAGGTATGACGATCTTGCTGCTTCTTCCGGTGCTTCAAGAAGCGCTCATTGGTTTCGTAGCTAATCGCACCCTGCACTAGCTGCGATGGTGTCAAAAACTCTTTGTTGAGCTTATCCGTCATGTACAACAATACGATCCATTCCTCGCATCACGGAACACCGTTCTACGCCTCTGAGGGACGCCACCCATATAGCGGACTCAATCCCCGTGCCACAGACCACGTACCCGCTGCCACGTCATACGCTCAGCACCTCAAGAAGGTTCATGAGGAGATCGCGTCCGCTCTACGTCAGGCTAAGGAAACCATGAAGGAGGTTTACGATCGACACCGCCAGGACGCTCGCAACTACGAGGTTGGCGACCAAGTGTGGCTTGAAGCGACCAATCTCAAGTCCAAACGTCCTTCGCCTGCACTCAACGAATGGCGTCATGGCCCTTTCAAGATTCTCGAGAAGATCGGCGCATCCGCATACCGTCTTGACATCCCTCCGACGTGGAAAACGCACAATGTGTTCAACGAGGCTCTCCTCACGCCCTACACCCCGCCCGCCTTCGCAAACCAGGCCAATCCGCCAGAGCCCCCGCCTGAAATGATCGATGGCGAAGAGCGATACAAGGTTGAGGCCGTTATCAACTCCAAGATTATCGGCCAAGGTGCACACCGAAGCATGATGTACTTGGTCAAGTGGAAGGGATACTTGGATCGTCACAACAGCTGGGAGCCAGTCACCAACTTGATGCAGGATGCCGACGAGGCAATTGATGATTACCACAAGGCACATCCGCGACGTATGCGTGTCTAGTCGTGGGTGACTAGCCTGAAGGGAGGGTGATGTTACGGACACCCGATTATCCATTATCTTTTNCCCGCTTGTAACTTACTCTTAACCTTGATCTAGTCAATACACCGGCTACCTAGCTGCTTGCCTTGGTCTCTACGCTCGCCCTTGTCTGTGTTAGTAAGCGGCTGCCTAGCCGTTGCTGACAGTGACGAGGAAGCAGATGAGAGGTGTATGGACGTAACTTGGTGCGATTTCTATGCGTTGTTCCCTGCAGAGCCTGCAGTAAACCGCTCCCAGGCACTGGGGTATAGGTATGGAGGCTGTACTAAATTGTTGAGTCCCTTCCATATGCTGGGCTAAACCATGATACTCACCAGACCGTTAGAGTTGAAGCCTGGTGGCGGCATTGCTATTCCTTGGCAAAGCGGAGTGCTGAGATCGTCCACCATGAACATGAGGCCGTTGCTGATGCTGGGCTCAAATGCCCTGATGGCTGGCATAGTAAGGTAGCCAAGCATGAACCAGGCGGTGGCCCAGTTGACATGGCCAATGGTGGGATTGAGCTGGCCATTGAGCATAGCGCGTACATTGTGCACAATGTCAACCATATGCTGCCGAAGTGAGAACACGTAGTGGAAGTTGTTCCACCCTATCTGTGAGTACTCTGGCGGGCATCGGGCCAGGGGAATGATGAGATAGAAGAACAGATCACCTCCGGGCACACTCCAGCCTCGTGTGGTCTGCCACCCTAAAACATGTGTTTGGAAGACCACTTCAGTGCAACCCTTCATGAGGAATGTAGTGATGCGACCATAACACTCCAACCCTGGGTAAAGGCAATGGATAATGATGGAGCCCGGGTGCACGAGGCAGACACCAATAGGTGAGAGGAGCCAGAAGAGAGCTTGACGCATCCTGTACTAGTCCAGGTTGGTCATGAGCCATTGGAGGAAAAAAATGAAGTCGAGTGAGATAAGCGGGCCATAGCAAGTGGAGGTAGGCGAGGGCGACCTGCATGAAAGACCGGGTGGGCATACCGAGGCCCGCGGTATGAACAGAGCAGGTGGGATACCCATAATACTGGCCACCAATGCGCTAAGACCACTGTCAGCAACGGCTAGGCAGCCACTTACTAACACAGACAAAGGCAAGCGCAAGGTAACCAAGATAAGTGGCTAGGTAGCCAGTGGATTGACTAGATCGAGGTTAAAGGTAAGTTACAAGCGAGAGCGCAGTCTTATATAGGTAAGGCGGGATAAACAGGGGTAAACAAAGGGTGGGAACTGGATGAGTCGTTTGTGAGTCACGGGGATTGCTGAGTCATGTGAGAGTCCGGAAAAGAAAAGGAAAAGAATAATGGATAATCAGGTATCCGTAACATCACCCTCCCTTCAGGCTAGTTGCCCACGACTAGACATGCATATGTCGCGGAGTTGCCTTGTGGTAATTGTCAATTGCCTCAGCGGCATCCTGTATCAAGTTGGCGATGCGCTCTCAGCTGTCATGGCGATCTGAGTATCCCTTCCACGTGACTAAGTACATCATGCTCCGGTGCTTTCTGAGTCGTCTATGAGTAGCTTTTTTAGAACATCCTTTTCTAGTGTGGGATCCTGTGGCATTTCATCTGCGGTGAGCGTGCAAATTGCATCAGGATCTCGAGCAATGTACGGCACCACACGAATGGCTGCAAACTTCGACATGATGGTTGTTCCATCCAGCTCACATAGAATGTATGCGCCTCAGGGCTTCCGTGCACCACACGAAATGGGCCTATGTAGTGCGGCTTAGCCTTCTTGTTGAGTGATCGAAAAATTGAAGAGTTGGCTATGAGCACCAGAGCTCCAGGGTTCATTACCTTTGTCATGAGGCACAAGCAAAACTGCTTCTTAAATTGAACCTTTGAACGCAAACGATGCCCCTTGAGACAGGTGACCGCCTTTTCTAGATCTACAGGTAGATGCTGAACCTGGCGGATTCTATATGCTATGGTGGTCATTGTGGTGTTTTATTCGACCACCATAGATTTTTGCTCACCGGAGAGATTTTTAGCCGTGGCCCGGGTTGCAGAGATTTTCGGCCCGGCGCACCGTCATAGAGAGTTTCGGGCCGGTCGTTCCAGTCAGAGAGCATAGAGAACACCGGCCCGCCCAAGTCCAGAGTTTTCGCACTCCCGCACAAAATATATAGAGAGTTGAGGTCCGACCCTAGAGTTTTGGGTTGGCCTCTCGCGCCACATCATCGCCTGGTCTCCCCGCGTGTTTCTAGCTGTGCGAGTGCCCACACGAGGCTCCCCTCCGCTCCCAATGGCGTGCTACGTGGCGGTCAAGGGAAAACGCCCGCACGATGAACTCACATGACCGCGATCGCGTCCTGCGTGCCGCGACGCGCGGCTCGCAAGACGTAGACACAGGCTCCTCTACCCGCACTCATCAAGACCTGTAGAAGCGCGATTATGGGCTACGATCATATCTACCCACAACAAACAGCCAGGACCAAGAACGAACAGCCAGGCCCATGGTTGGAATGCTGACTCAGCTTCCGCTCGCATCAGGTGCGTTTAACTCGCGATTTCCGCGTCGTGACTTACTAAGCAAGTTCTTCAACTGACTAGAATTCTCCTCCCACCCTGCAAAGAGGCGCCTTTCGTTCTAGAACCATGCGACTGGACCAGATCGACCCGATCAGCATGCACGGCCAGTACAGAGTGTTATATTCCCCTCTGTCTTCGGTGCGCACCCCTCCACCAATTAATAGCCATCCCGGCCTGGCCACGACCTGCCGCTTGTTTCGCCGTCAAGCGCTCGACTGCGCTATTCGCATGTCTGGCATTGCGTGCTGGGCACTCTGTGTGGTATCTCGAGAGGCTACAAGCTGTCATGCAGGGGAACAATATGGAGGATGGCGAGGAGGACGGTGAGAGTGATGACAAAGTGGTGGGGGATCTCACGCGGCCCGAACACTTCCTTCAGGTGAGAGACATGGCTGCGATGGGCTGGGTGAAAATGAGAATACTGAATGGGTGTTCGGTCAGTCCAGGAGAAGATTACTACGAGGATGAGCGCGCACGATGCGGTGCACTGCGGGCGCAGATCACCTGACCGCTTTTGGTCTTTCGAGTCGCGACGCGCGACTCAAAAGACGCGCGCGGGCAAAGCCCGCGGCTTGGCCAGGCTGGTAGTCCCGCCTGAATAGATATATTTGAGTATCTTTCTTGCACACCTATATTTTCCAGTAGTCTACCGCAGCACATGTACTATGAGTAGTTATTTCAACCCCTGTTTACCCAGAACCGGCATTTACGAGCGTCCTCACCGCGGGGTGGGAACACGTGGAGTGTCGGAC